ACCCCAAAGGCACACCCCCAGTGACCTACCTCCCCTAACCACTCCCGACCTGCCTACAGTTACCACTTGACTAATCTATGTCAGTAGATTAAGCCCTTGATTATGTCACAATTCTCATCATCTAACCATTTCACCTCTGAGCATTCTTGCATTGTCTCACACATGAGCTTTTTCAGGAATATCACATATCCAAACCACACCAATCATCCTGTTCATGGCTGAAAGTGTTTATTATGTGACAGTGTATTTTTGTGCCTTGCATGGACTATGACATTTGATCATTTTAACACTTTAGGAAAGACCTGGAATTAGGTTCATGTTTGAAATGAGGACATTGAAACCTTGGGGCCTGGAGGAAGGGAGCGGGTTGTGAGTCCAGGTATGTGGCTCCAAGCAGGGAGTCTCCACGTGCTCCTCTGGGTGGTCATCAGGAATGTTCTGGCCTGAGCCATCTCTCCCTGCCCTGCTCAGAGCTAGCGTAGGGAGACAAATTTTTATCTTTACTCTCTTTGGGTTTTTCATCTGGGCCTGAGAATTAAAATGAGGTAATGCCGGGTTTCTGTTCTCTCGACTAAAAGGCTCAGGGGTCACTCCAGTTAAACTGGGCTGACTGGGCTGCATAAAATAACCACACAAGAGACACAAATACCTTTTTCTTTGGGGTCGCTGTGATGGCTCCTCTGACCTTAAGGGTTCTCAGGAAGAAAGAGAGCGAGAGCACGCACTGACCCCTTTTATTGAGGAGAAGCTATTCAAACGAGGCAAGGGGTCAGGTTTCAGGGGGCTGAGTCTATCTTCATGATGTCCACTGTCAGCAGGTTGACTGACACCTGGGTAGGCCACCCCCAAGGGCTCAGTAAGAGAAGGGGACACACACAAGGCACTTCCATGGAACATTCTATCCTAAACAGGGCAAGGGGTTATATTACAAAGGAACCGGTGATCGTAGCTCCACCCATTGGCTGTATGTAGCAAGACACACCCATGCACGAGACACCAACCCTGGTACCCAAGAAGGATGGGGAAAGCTCTGCCACATTTCTGTGACTGAGCGCCTCAGCACCCAGCCGGGGAGTGTGACTCAGTCACATGCAAGGTTGGTCTTCCACAAGGTAATACAAATTAATAGGAGAAAAGCATACAAAATTATTTAATATGAGTTCTATGAGACATTCGACAGTTTATAAGGAATGAAGACCCAAAAGAAGTAGCCAATCTTTTAAAATGCTTTTATACTAGGCCGAACAAAGAAAGGCAATTGTGGAAAAGTAACCAAATTACATGGGATGGGGGAGGTAACAGAAGATAAGAACTATTTTTACAAGATTTGTATGTACGGAATTCTCTTGGTCTCAGTGGCTCATCCTAGGTGACCATAACGTTACCTTCCTTCTGGCAGAGAGAGGACATCTTTCATGTGGGGTTTTATCTTCAGGTTTCAGGAAGAAAAGGGGGAAGGGCAGAGCCTACTTCCTGCATCCAGAATTATTTAAGTGACTTTAGCCCAAAATAATCCTCATGCCAGAATGGCATAGTTTGTATTCTGCCACCCGGCAGAGGGAAAGGTGGAGTGGCAGGTGGCTCCCCTGGGAGGGGCTCAGTGTCTCTGTGTCACTGAGCACCTGGATTACACATGCGCCCAGGTGGCACCATCTGTCCCAAGTTTGCAGTTCAATGAGGGTTTTCCAGGATGTCAATCACTTTCTCATTTTGGCAACAAGCTGCAAAGTCAGAAATAGAGAATGGGATTCATTGACTCTTGATTTACTATTGTTCAGCAGCAAGAAATTTCTTGACTCTACTCTAAATTGAGATTTAAGACAGAGGTTGCTAGTGAGATTCTCACTTTAATGGGCCACCCCTGCCAGCTGTGCTGTGTCATCCGTGACCAATAGGGCTTGCTTTATAATTTTCAGGGGCCAGTGCAAAATGAAAATTAGGAACACCTCATTTGAACAAGCGGGGGATGGGGGAAGCACCGTTTAAGCTTCTAAAATATAAAACTTTTTCCTTTTGACCTGTCATAGTACTTTTTATTTGCTATTTAATGTCCTTTTAAGTAGAGGAAAATCAAGCATTTAATTTTCACATAGATTTTCCTACTCATCTTAATATTGGGTAAGTTTTCTGTTTGCTTTTTGTGATGCTGGAAGTCAAACCCAGGACCCAGGCATGCTCAGCAAGCATTCTGCCACTGAGCTACGTCCCTCGTCCTTACATGCTAGTTTTAAATGCAACTATAAGAGCATTTAACCCATATGTGGAGTCATCAAAATGACACAATTTGTGTTTCGTAGCATGACCCAACGTGCATTTCTGTTTTCACCAGAACAGTGGACACACCACACAAAACTAACTTTAACTGTGGTCATTTCACTTTTTGATATGCACACATTCTGCCAACACTCCACCTTTGGCTTACCGAGGGAAGACCTCCCAAAGGGGAAGGAGCTACGGCTTCATTCGCATCAACTGCAGGATGAGGGGCTGGTGGGTATGGGGAGACTCATTGGTCAGAAAGAAGACAAGGTTTCTTGATGGCTCCTATTTCTTGAAACCTCCTCGCCTGGTCTGCATTTGAATCAGTTCTGCTTCAAATGGGATGTGGCTTCTGAGGGTTGCCAGGCCAACCCAACTCAGACTGGCTTAACTAATAAAGGGGCTTATTGGTTCATGTGAATGGAAATCCAAGAAATCGTTTAGCATCACTCACTGGGTGACAAATGCCATCAAGGACCCAGTTTTCTTTTGCTTTTCTTCTTGCCTCCCGTGATGTCAGCTTCATTCTTAGGCTGGTTGTCCCTCAGGGTGGCAAAATGGGTACCAACAATCCCCAGAGCAACTGGGAGAACCTTTCTATCAGAAGAGTGAGAAAGCTTTTTCCTTGTTCTCAGGAAAAGCTCCCCCAAAGAGTCATGAGCCCATCCATCAAATGATACCCTGTCCAGGGAGTGGGACTGTGCTGGTCCATTCAGAATTAAACTGCCATGTCCCTTTCCACACCCAGGATGGAGTGAGCTTCTGTCACACAGCACAGGAGAGTGGGGAGGTGGAAACCAGAGCAAAAAATTGGGGTGATGACCTTGAGGGGAAGAAATAGACACTGCAGAGACCACCTACCACCTTAGCAATCCTACCTCAGTTCTCAGGGCTGGCAACAGGACACAGTAAAAATGTAAGTGTGTGATGCTCTCCAGACTTTGGCAGTGGGAACTGGGTGCATTTCTACCCAAAAGATGTTCAGATTCATGCTTTAAAATAATGCTGGCCCAGCAAAACCTGTGTCTGCAGGCCACTTCACAGGTCAGGAACCAAAGAGGAATAGTAAAGGCCTTATTGTAATGGTTGCCACATGCTGAACTCCGTGTGTGCTTCTGCTAACACACTGGACAAGAAAGGGAGGTGAGGCTTCAGGAGGTCAACAAATTTGCCCAGAGCCACATTGGTAATGAGGGACAGGGCCAAGGCCAGGATTTGGACTCAGGCCTGTTCGGTCCCCGTGACTCTGCTCTTTCTCAGTATCTAAAGGATGAATTGGTGTCATGAATAGGAAAAAAAGCTCCAAGTCAGTTCAGAGCTCTGTCACACTGTGTCACGAAGAGGTTTTAGGAGACTGTGGGGAGCCACATTGAGTTACCATGGCTTCCAGTCCTGATGCACCACAGGGACCTGAGAGATCACTGTATTCTGGGCAGTAGTGCCGTGGCTCGTGACTCAGTCTTTTCCTCTGCCTGGATAGCAAGGCCAGTCTTCTGATTAGGCACACCCTGGGGTTGAGCTACTCACCTATTCTTTTGTAATCCTACCCCGTTGCCCTGTTTGGGATAGAATGTTCCATGGAAACTCCCTTTGTGTGTCCCCATCTCTTGTTCTGCCTTTGGGTGTGGCCTTCCTAGATGTCAGTCAATCTCCTGACAGTAGACACCATGAAGCTAGACTCAACCCCCCCACCAAACCTGACCCCTTACCTCATTTGAATGGCTTCTACCCAATAAAAGGGTTCAGCACATGCTCGCGCTCTCTCTCTCTCTCTCTCTCTCTCTCTCTCTCTCTCTCTCTCTCTTTCTTTCCATGGACCCCTAAGGTCAGAGGAGCCATCACAGGACACAAAGAAAAAGGTATTTCTCTACCTCTGGTTATTTCACACAGCCCTGTTCACCTGGAGTGACCCTGTGTGTTTAGTTGTGAGATGCAACAGGAGACCGCTTGTATGAGTCCATTTTCTGTTGTTATGACAAAGTATCGGAGGCTGGGTACTTTATAAAGGAAAAAAGTTTATTTAGCTTACAGCATTGGAGTCTGAAAGTCCAAGATTGAGTGGCCACATCTGTTAGCCTCCTGTGATGGTCCTTTGACTACGTCACAACATGGCAAAGGAGAGGAAAAGGAAACAGTCTTTTCCAATGGCGGTTCCCCCAGTGACCTAGTTTCCTACCCCTAGGCCCCATCTCCTGAGGGTCTCACCACCTCTCGGTACCACCTCTTGACATCACCACACTGAAAACCAAGCTTTCAGCACATGAACCTTTTGGGACATGTTCAAACCATCTTCAAGCCATATATATCACTAAATGGAGAGGGAAGATCTCATGAAGCAAATTCTCTGAGTGATAAAGTGAATTTTACTCAGGAAAGAGAAGAACCATCTTCCCTGGGTACAGGCTCCCAGGAAGCCAGCGTCACTCCTGCCTGGCTCAGGGAAGCCCACTGGCTTCTGGCCTCCTGTGTGAGCAGAGCAGCGGTTGACGAATCCCTGTTCTGTAAGCTGTCCGACTTGGAGAGGTCACAGAGGAAGCCCGGGCCTCGAGTTGGCAGCATGACGGCAGAGGTGTGAGGCTCTCAGAAATGCCCCCACCTGGGCAAGTCCCAGGCCAGCCCTGACCTCCTCCTATCTGCCCACTGAAGACTTGGGAGCAGCTTGGGTTTCCCAGTGCAAAGTAAACCCCAGGGAAAAGGAAATGAAAAGGGCGTGTTCCTAACCCGGCTCCTTCTCCTTGCAGCCTGCTTCATTCTCGCGCTCACGGCTCTCCTGGTCCTGCCGCTGTCCATGGCCTTCACAGGTGAGCTGGCTGCTGTGCTGCGGGAAGCTGCAGGTCAGCGGGGGTGGAGCGGGGGTGACAGCACTTAATGTTTAAGCATCAACTGTGCTTAGGCAGGGCTGGCAAGATCTGTCGTCCCCAATTATCTGTTTGCTGTCACAGAGTGACTGGTGAACATTCCTGGTCCCCACCCTGGAAGATATTGATGAGGTGTGTCTGGGGTGGGGACAGGCATCTGCTTTTAAAACTGTCCGAAGAAGATTCTGATCTTCCTAGCCCAGGTTTAGGAGTCGCGAGGCCGAGTTTGCCCGAGGCCCCTTCCTGGTTCCTATGTTCCCGTGAGGAAGCCCATTGTGAACAATAGGAAAAATGCATCCGAGGCCCAAGGAAAGTACCGGCTCACTGTATATGTTTTTGCGGAATGAGTGAATAATAAATGCTCCCCTAATTGCACGGATTAAACAACTTTATAATCTGCAAGTGTGAAGTATAGGGGAGGTGGCAGGGGAGTAGGAGTGGACTCCTTGAGAAGCCAAAAGTCCCTGGCACATGTCTGTGGAACTAATCTCATGCTCTTGAAATTGCTAATGGGAGCCCCTGAGATCTGCATGCAGAAGGTCGATGCCCTATTTACCCTGAGGCCTAGCAAGCCAGTGTTCTAGGTTCCAACCTCAAAGGATATGGGGCAGAAATTTTAAAAAGGTGCAGGAGTTATTGAAAACAACAACAACAAACCCAGTACCCTATCTGCTTAGTGGGTACAAGGTTTCATTCTAGGGTGATGAAGCTATTCGGGACTAGAGAAAGGGGATGTTTGTACAACATTGAGAATATGCTAAATGCCACTGGGTGGTTCCCTTAAAATAGTTGATTTTATGTCCAGTAAATTTTATACTAAAAAAATACAACTCTGAAAATAGAAATAAACAAAAACAGTACCCTGGTTTTTTTTAAAAAAAGAGAGAGACAGAGAAAGAGAAATAAAAAGATAAATAGCCTGAGCTGGGCTCAGCGGTGCACACCTGTAATCCCAGAGGCTGGGGAGGCTGAGGCAGGAGGATTGCAAGTTCAAAGCCAGCCTCAGAAACTTAGAAAGGCCCTAAGCAACTCAGTGAGACCCTGTCTCTAAATAAACTATTAAAAAGGCTGGGGATGTGTCTCAATGATTAAATGCCCTGGGTTCAATCCCCGGTACCAAAAAAAAAAAAAAAAATACAAACAGCTTAAACAACAACAGAGAGAGAAAATAAAATAAAATATCAAAGTTGCCCAGAACTAAAAGAGCAAAACATTCTGGGGCCATTTAATATAAGAGGAAAACAATTCAACCACTTGCCCAAATCTGGAAGCTACCATTATTAGAGTTAGTTTGAAAATTAACTTCCATTTATGGTTCTGCTCTTTCAAGAAGAGTTTATAAGAAGTTAGTCACACCCAGCTTGGGAGATCAGAAATGCCCTGTAGACAGTGTTCTATGCAAAATCAGTAGTGTAAGAGAGACTGTGGAGCTGTGGCTAGTTGTTCACCAACTCACTCACCAGCTAACAACTCATTCACCAAGCGTCCATGAGTTCATTGACATGGTCACTATGTTCAAACGACTACATCCATTGCAGAAAGTAGGTCTCGGGGAGTTGCTGCATAGCAATTACAGAGCTTTCGTTGGAGTGATGAAAAGTTCTTGAAAATGGATGATGGTGATGGTCACACAAGATGCTGATTGAAATTAATGCCATTGAATTGTACGCTTCAGTGGTTAAAATTTTTTGTTTGGCTATTATGTCACAATAAGAATTGTCAACACTCATACACACACACACACACACACACATACCATAATATTGTTGTGTGGGTAGGGAATATTATCTCTAGCAATATTATCAACTGCTTTGGGGAGAGTTTGAAAAAGCCAAAGGGTATCATTGTGATACTGCAGATCAGACAGAAAGAAAATCTAGGGTTCAGGTAGGACCTAAGCAACACGCGAAGAACACAGAGGAAGACTGTTGATTGAGTTGATTGGGATCTTTGCAAGCCATCTGTGCATGGATCGACTCTCCTGTGAACAGCAGCTGTTCTTATTCATTAGGAATGAGCAGATATATAAGTCATTACTCAATGTTCATTACACAGCTGGCTTTTGAATGGTAAAGGCAGCTCATACCCAACAAATTTGGCATCCGATACTTGAATGTCTTTGTGTGGAAAGGTTGTGTTGAGACTTGGAGAGCACTTCCATCTGATAATGGTTTCAAACAAACATCAGAGAAACTGGAAAGGCACGTCATATAGGTTGATGATCCAATCAATGTGTGTGGAGGACTTTACTCTGTTTGGGGCCCTGAATTTATATTTATATCTGTACATTTAGAAATTTTCAATAATGTCAATGAAACATGATGCAGTCATCGAGAAAAATTTCCTCTGCTTAAGTTCCCATATCTAGGCATTTTTGAGAAATAAAATGTCAAATCAAATGTGTTTTAAACAGGAGACTAGTTCAACCTGAGAATTCCCTTCTTAGAACCCTGTTGACAAATTAATCAAGTAATTTAACTATGCTGTAGTCACAAATTAACCCTGAATCTCAGTGGCTTAACACTGTAAAGGTTTATTTCTTGTTTTTTTTGGGTGGGGGTGGGGGGGTGGATACCAGGGATTGAACTCAAGGGCACTTGACCACTGAGCCACATCCCCAGCCCTATTTTGAGTTTTATTTAGAGACAGGGTCTCACTGAGTTCCTTAGTGCCCTGCTTTTGCTGAGCCTGGCTTTGAACTCACGGTCCTCCTGCCTCAGCCTCCCGAGCTGCTGGGATCATAGGCCTGTGCCACTGTGCCCAGCTGTAAAGGTTTATATCTTGCTCGTGAAAATTCCATTGTGGATTAGGGGTCATCCCAGAGCCTCAGGAGACTCCCCAAGGCAATAAACATGACCCCTAGCTTTACAAACTGCCTCAGTCCTGAGAGAGAGGCCCTCTCAGCTCATTGTTTTCCAGGTGGTTAAAGCAGGAGGCGAAAGAAGGATCATGTATCAGTTTTAAAATGGTTGATGTAGTCACACAGCCCTGTGTGCCCACAGGGACCTTGGCAATATGAAGGCACATATCCATCCATGCCTCTACACAGAAGAGTTGTGTGCTTGAACCCCTCTGCGGCCTGGTCATTGGAACTAGTTTTGTTAATGAGGGAAATAAGACATTTCCTTCTTGTATTTAAAAAAAGATGCATCGTATTATTGCTTAATAATAGGCTTAGAAGATAAAGATCTAAGAAAAGTAGAGAAAGCATTGTTTTGGGAGGAAATGGGGGGGGGGGTCAGCAGTATTCCATACCCAGTTGCTAAAGATGCCTTAAAGGCCTCATTTTACTCAGTGGATGCATTTTGGGAATGTGACCCATAAATTGAACCTTATTTTAAGCATATCAAGGGAACTGAGTGTTTAAAGGGATTCTTTAAGTCCTTTTGTGAAAAGAGTCCTTGAAAGCGTGAACTGCCACACATACACCAGCTTTTCATAAAAGCACGGTACACTCATGACCACTTAGTCCCCGGATGAAAGGTGCAGTGACGTCTGTCCCTGCTTTGTCGGATGATTCATTTGTTCCTGGAATTGTCGGCCAGAGGCCTGACGCCAGGGATCCCAACAAACCTGATCCACCTCCTTGCCCCAAACACCAAACAAAAAAGGGGATGGTGAAGAACAGGAAAAGAACTACAAACGATAGGGCCACACTGGGAAGGCAAAGTGACCTGCAGCCTCTCAGCCCTGCCTTCTGGGTGCTGGCAGGAGCTTTAGCTTTAAATAGGGGAAGAACTGGGGCAGGGGCAAGAGGGGTGTGTAATTAAGTGGTCTGATTGATCATTCTCTCAGTTCTTGTTCTGCAAGGGGGCTCTGGAGAAGTCCTTGTCTCTCTAGAGGACCTGGGATCCTGGAAGGAGGCAATTCAGTTCCCATGAGATGATGGCTCCTGCTTAGGGGTCCCATCATGGGTTGATGTCCTGCTCCAGTTGTTCCTGGAAGGTGTAGTCCTTGTCGGCATCACCCCATGGATCTGAAACAGGGTGCTGCAGATCCTGCCTCCGTCTCAGAGGGAAATGAGATCAGTTAGGTAAATCTGGGGCTAACAGACCTTGTATTACTAGTTATGAGATGAACACTCCTTAAGGGATTAATATGCTTATATGCTGAGCTGAGCAGACCCCTGACCCAAAGTTGAAGATAATAAAGGAGACAGATACAGAATGAAGGCTGAGATGCCAATCTTTGTCCTGCTTTTAGTTACCCATTGGGCATCTGTAGGCCCGAGTGAAGAGTCGTTGCTTTTAACAAAAATAACTTCTCTGCTTCCTGATATACATTCTGCCAGGAGAGTGGGATCTACAGAGTCAACCCACCAAGCATCCTGAAGATCGGGTGGCCCATGAGGCCAAGAGGATCCCACCAGCAGAGCAGGGAATGGAGTTATGGTTTGTGGAACTAACATTTTGGCCTTTGTAGGTGTTAAACTCATCTTCATAACCAGGATTGGTGCTCTTGAATGCATCTCTCAATCCCTTTCTGCTTTCCCTGGGTAGGAATGAAGTTTTTGGAGGACTGCCCCATACAGCCTCTCATTCCCTTATATTTGCTAGTGGGTGGGATCATCGGTGCCTTAAAGGTAAGGTTTTTTTTTTTATTTGTTCTTTTTAGTTATATATAACAATAAATGTATTTTGACATATTAAACATATATAGAATATTACTTCTCATTCTTGTGATTGTACATGATGTGGAGTTACATTCGTCATGTGTTCATATATGAACATAGGAAAATTATGTCTGATTCATTCTACTGTCTTTTCTATTTCTATCCCCCTTCCTCCCTTTCATCCCCCTTTGTCCAATCCAATGAACTTCTATTCTTCCCTAACCCTGCCTCTTATTGTGTGTTATCATCTGCATATCAGAGGAAACATTTGGCCTTTGGTTTCTTGGGATTGGCTTATTTCACTTAGCATGAGAGTCTCCAGTTCCATCCATTTACCAGCAAATTCCATAATTTCATTTCTCTTATTTGGATGAGTAATATTCCATTGTGTATACATACCACATTTTCTTTATCCATCCATCTATTGAAGGACACCTAGGTTGGTTCCATAGTTTAGCTATTGTGAATTGAGCTGCTATAAACGTTGATGTGGCTGTGTCCCTGTAGTATGCTGATTTTAAGTCCTTTGGATATAGACTGAGGAGTGGGATAGCTGGGTCAAATGGTGGTTCCATTCCAAGTTTTCTGAAGAATCTCCATACTGCTTTTCATAGTGGTTGCACCAATTTGCAGTCCCACCAGCAATGTATCAGTGTGCCTTTCCCCCCCATATCCTTGACAATATTTATTGTTACTTGCATTCTTGAAAATTCCATTCTAACTGGAGATGAAATCTCAGTATTTAAACTATGGATTGTCCTTCTTGCTCAAGTTTTACTTACTGTCAGGGTGGAACATACCTGTTAATATTCAGCTACTCACAGGGTGCCAGGACAATATCCCCCTAAGTGAGGCGTTGAAGTGACAGGGTTGGCTTCAGAATCACAGATTTTTCCAGATGAGGGGCCTTCACCAAGGGTTGGATATCTTTGCAATAGCTTTCTTCCTGCTATTGAGTTCAATGTGCTAAGTTTTAGTTTGGATCTAACAAGAGGAGTGACCAACAGAGGAGTGACCAACTGACTAGCCAGTTTGGCCATTGAATTCATCACGACCTTTTTTTGTGCTTCTTTTTTTAAAAAGTATGCTGTTTAGGGCAGAAGAGTTTGCATTTGGTGAAAAGGTGGGTTTGTGTGTGTGTGTGTGTGTGTGTGTGTGTGTGAGTGAGAGAGAGAGAGAGAGAGAGCACGTGGTGCTGAGGATTGAACCCAGGGGCACTCTGCCATTGAACTACACCCTCAGCCCTTTTTATTTGGAGATAAGATCTTACTAAATTGCTGGGGCTGCCCTCAAATTTGCAATCCCCTTGCCTCAGCTTCCTGAGTAGCTGGGGTTGTAGGCATGCACTGCAACACTCAGCTGAAAGGTATGTTGTTTAGGGGTTTGTATTTCTGTTTTTGCTATGTGTCAGTTGACCACGTGGAATTAAACTGGCTTCAGTCGTCAACCAACCATTAAACTCTGGTGTCTGGTGCTAAGAGAGCTTCTCTCTGACTCTCAAGCCCATGTAGAGACCTAATTAGCTCATGGGTTGTATTGGCATCTGTTCAAACAGGAAAGAGACTGAAGAAGAAATATCAAGTGGCATGCAGAGCTGAAACTTAGGTTTCCAAAATCCCTGGTCACAGAAATGTTACACTTGCCAAAAGTACCTCAGGTCCACCTGTGCTTACCAGTGACTCTTCCTAACCTCCAAGCCCACCTCACAGCTTCCTATCAAAACTAGAAAACATAGTATCTATTTTTTCCAAAGAGGACTCATAAAAATGAAGCAACAACACAATAGAGAAAACAGAATCAAGAGTGCCATATATAAAATTTCATTCAGAGTCACTGTCTGGTTTCTTTGCCAACTTCCTCCTGGTGCTGGGATCCTTCAAAAGATCTTGGCCAGAGGCGCTGGTCATGCTATTGATTTAAGACATCAAAGGAATGTCTTTAAAAATATGTGTTCTCGTATGTAATGGATATCCATAAGCTCTATGACATCTTGGGAAATGTCTGATTTTGAACAAACCATTGCAGCTTCATTTCCCAACAGCAGTGTTCTGGTGGGCAATGTTCTGGAATGTACAGATACACGTTATCATCCCTATAACAACATTCCCCAGGAATTCTCCAGAGGCTCTGTCTGGCTCCAAAGAAACCCAGGGGCTGTCAGCTTCGGGAGGCTGCATATCCCCTGTGGCCCCCAGGTGTTAGGCAATGCCTTGGGCACCAAGGAGATGCTCAAAACAAGAGCAAAGTTTTCTGCAGTAATTACCTGTGTCATCCATCCCCAGCTGACTGCCTCATCACCAGGTTGCTACCTGGAACTTTCCTGTAGAGCTGCTACTGTCCACAGAGTCAGCCTCCTAATAACAGCCAGCTTTTCCTTTACAAAAGCCAGCTCAGAACCCAAAGGTAATTTATTTTAATGAACAAACCAGGGCTCTAATAAACAGCATCGATTTTTTTTTTCCTGGCCATCTAAAACTGTTTGAAGCCAAATTAAATTTTGGTGCTCAACATGGTGAGGTAATATACAGTGAGTCCATAACAATAGAGCAGCAGCAAACAGGTTTATGGTGCCTCCAGAGGCCCAAGTTTACTTGTGATGATAATGCTTTGTGTTTAACACCCGCCCCCCAACACAGTTTGCCCAGCCCAGCATCTTTAGTGAAATGCACCACATAGCATCAAGGTATCGCATTCAAAGAGAAATCTGAGAAATGAGGTGGCATTTCCCGGAGTTACCAAAAAGAGCTGACGGTCATGACCTACTAGGTCACAAAATGCATTTAGCAGGTTGTGATCTGATTTAAAAATAAAATAAAACAGAAACTATGAGAGTGCCTAATAAGTATTGTGTGATACTATATATGGACACCTGCCTGTTTGTCATCCAAATGGAAATAATTTTGAGAGGACAAGGGGACTCTAATAATCATCATGGTGGGACAACAGCACAGACCAGGACTTCTCTGCGCTCCCAAGGACTTTGAGTTACCCAATTTCTGGGTCATGATGTAAAATGTATTTGTTGCTTTGGATCATGTTAAAAGAAAGTTTCAAAAACACTGATCTGGGGCTGGGGTTGTGGCTCAGTGGTAGAGCGCTCGGGTAGCACGTGCAAGGCCCTGGGTTCCGTCCTCAGCACCCCATTAAAAAATAAATAAATAAATAAAATAAGAGTATTGTGTTCAACTACAACTAAAAACAACAACAATAACAACAACAAAAAAAACCCACGTTGATCTGATGGCCATTATTTACCCAACACTCCACCTCACCTCCAGTGTCCCTCTTCCTAGTGCCACCGTGAGCAGCTTGCCTTTAGCAGGTGCTGTGCTGACATCTGTGCCCCCATTTAGGACTCATTCCATCCTCATAGCGCCCCCGTGAGGCAGGAACTGGCATCAGGAAGGATTCTTTTGAGTACAATGAACACCAATAACAGAAAAAGAAAAGAAAAAGAAAAAAACTCTAACTTAGGAGGTAGTTTATTGAAAGAACACACAACTCAAAATGTTGGTGGAGAAGCAAGGGACAAGTTTGGCTCCGGAAAGCCTGGGGCAGGTCCCCTTACTGTAGCTTCCTGGTGTCCGTGGCAGAATGCCTGAGCCCCACCTAGTTCCTCTCTCATGGCGTCACTGGGCCCAGGAACCAGTTTGAAGAGGACAGCCCTGAACCAAGGACCCTGGGTGTCCTGTGGCTCCCTGTGCGCCAAGAGCAAGGGAACAGACCTCCCGGAGGGCAGGTAGCACAATTTATCCTCTCTAGACCTAGGATGGGTAGGGGATTTGCCCAAAGAATGAGGTGATGCTCACGGCAGTCTGCTGGGCCGTGTTCTAGAACGTCCAGAGCATTGCCACCTGAGCTGATGAGGAAAAGAAAGGTGGTGTTCACCGAGGCCTCTGCTCCAGTCGAGGGGCTTTCTCATCTCCCTTTGTCTTTGCCATGCCACTCTCCCTCCCAGGAGGTCCTCCCACCTCTCCTCTCTTGAAGGGGTCCTGAGTCTGCCGCCTTTTCCAGGAAGCCCTCCTGGATGAGCCAGCTCCATGCCAGACTCCTTGAAGTGTCCCAATGCTCTTCTTAGAGAAACATCTTGCCTCCCAGCCAAGCTGCAGGTCTTGTTCCTAGAGAGCTGGAACAGGAATACCAAATGGGAGGGCTCCCTGGCACAGGAGAGAACCACGCTGATCCCAGCACCATGTGGTGAGTTATATACAGTGGTCGGACACGTGTGGGCCGATGGCCATCTCATTTTTTTTTTTTTTTTTTTTTGGTACTGGGTATTGAGCCCAGACGCTCCTTACCAATGAACTACATCCCCAGTCCTCTTACTTTTTTATTTTTGGAACAGGATTTCACTGTTTGCTGAGGGTCTTGCCAAGTTGCTGAGGCTGGCTTCGAACTTGCAGTCCTCTTGCCTCAAACTCTGGAGCCACTGGGATTACGGGCATGTGCCACCAGACTGGCTCCATCTCATTCTTCACTCACTGTGGACTGAGTCGAGTGACTTAACTTCTCTGAGCCTTAGTGTCCTCGACCAGGAAGCAGGGTTAGTCATACACAGCTCATAGGCTAGTATAGGTATTAAATAAAGTCAGTCATAAGTGCCAAGTTTTGGACTAACTACTTAAGGTTTGCTATTTTTTCATAAATAATAGCTCTCTACAGTCGAAAGCAACAGAATGCAGATAAGTACCAAGGAGAACATCAAAATCACCTGTAAATTACACCACACAGCAAACAAACATCGCTGTTGACTCTGTAGCCTGATGGCTTCTGTTTGGGTCCTTCTGTGCACAAATTTATTTGGCACCTAATTGCTGAGAGAATTAAATGAGGTACTGTACACGAAGCACCTCACCCAGCACCAGGGTGTCTGTCCTTTTGTGCAATGTCCATTTCCAGAGTCACTGTCACCAGCACAAAGATAACTCCCATATCTCAGTCACAGCCCTCACCTGTCTCTGTTCACCACCAGCCTCTGACCACCCCCTCCTGGCCACCATCACCTGCATGTCCATCCAGAATTTTATATGGAGCAAGTCCAAACCCGAGGTTGTCACACACCTCAAATGCACAGCTCAGGCTCCTCTGCTCCCCAGCCCTCTTGATATCATTGTCCCCATCACTGCCCCAGTCTGGATCCTGTTGGTGACATTTCTTGACTTGTCCCTAACCTTCCATTTCCCTCGGGCTCTGAGTTTCTCCCCTCACCAACCTGCATGCTCGTGGCCATCAGAGGATTCCCTCTCAGCCCTGCTGTCCTTGGGTTAGGGGTGCACTGAGGTTGGCCATAGGGGAGCTGGGAACTGGGATAGAACAGATAAGCAGATTCGGTTTTCAGAGGAAATCACAGGGAAGCCGGGGAATGGCCAAAGGTCTCCCCAGCAAAGAAGGCTATGTCTTCCCCGGCTGTGTTTTCCAAGGGGAACACTGAGACATGGAGTCTGAGGCCAGTCAGGTTGGTAGCAATGGGGATTCTTTGTGTAATCAAATGGAAACTGACTTTCTAAGGGGTGTCAGACTGGAGTCAGGCAGGGGCCATCTGCCAGGGGAAGAGATGGTCTTTGTCCCCCCAGAGTATTGCTCAAAGGAGAAGGTGTGTGCTCTTGACTTGAGGGATATGTGAGGACAGCGGGGACAATGCTCTCGCTCCACGGCCCCACTCAAGATGCAGATCCTGGGGACAGAGAAGGGTGGAAACAGCCCAAAGAAAATCAGCTTGGGTGGGTAGGAGGAGGACAGGAAGGGACCAGTGATGCCTGGAGCCGCCAGGCCAGTGACGTGGCCTGCAAGTGGCAGGGGAATAGTTCCTCCTAAGACAGAGGGCCTGGCTGGGAGGTGCGTTAGCATCCACCAGGTATCATTCCTGTACTGTTAGGTGTCATGAAAATGCGCTAGAAAACTAGAAAGGCCAGTTGGTCCAAGCCTCACTACAGAGGTAAATTTATGCCAGCTAATCCCGTACCCAAACCGGCTCCTGCATCCAGGAGGAAGATGCCAGCAAGCTTGCTGACTATGGATTGATGTCTTCATTCATGCCAGTTCCAATTCTAATTCTTCAAATGAAATGTCCTCCTTTAGCAGATCTTCCAACTCCAGTATATGTACTTTTCATAACCTCTCTCTGTCTCTCTCCCCATCTTCCCCCCTTCTACTCCCTCTGTTCCCCACAACTTTTCCACCCTCCCCTATGACCCCCACCCCACTACCATCCAGGTGTCTCTCTTGCTGCATGACTCCACCAGGATGAGGCGGCTTCTGTCCAAGGCTCTGGTGATTGATGACGACGACGACGATGAGTATCCCTGGAGACAGAACGCGCACAAATACTACGTGCACCTCATCCTCAGCCTCTTCCTCTTCCTCTGGTTTATTCTGGGGAATTACTGGGTCTTCTCTGTGTACCTGCCTGACTTTATTCCCCCTTTCCAGCAGCCCCAGGCATACTGTGACAAAACCCTGTACCTCTTTGCCGTAGGGGTCCTGGTGCTCAGTCACACTGTGCTCATCTTACTGGTCCTGTGCAGCGGTTGTGTCTATGTGTGTTCCAGGTGGAGATTTGCTGGTGATGAAGACTGACAGCCACTCCTCCCGGCGTGTGCACACATAGACACACATGCACAATTGGGGGAGAAAAGCATGCTAGGGAGTCAATAGAACCTTCCATACGGGCATTTCAGAAACTAACAAAAATGCACTGAAGGAGTCTACCAGACTAAAGAGAGTCTTGCCTGCTTAGAAGTGGGGAAAGCATTTTGACTCTTCTTTGGGTGAGAATTTGTACTCATGAGTTTTCAAAGGATGTTTCTTTGGAGGGGAGGAGATGAGGGGTGCTAAGAAAGGGCGATCTTTTCCAATCACAGGGCAATTCCAAGCCCTGTGGCAGGGTCTGCTGTTGTTACTGTTGCTACTGCTGAGCTCATTCAGCCACCAGCACTGCAGAGTGGTAGGAAGGATGCCCATTAATAACTCCAACTGCCTTTTGTGATAGCTAAGGAGAAGTCAAGATATCCCCAACCCCAGATTAAAAGGTTTGATCTGATAAGTGAGGACATCCTAAGGGGAGTTATAAAATCTGCCAAGTTCAAGGAATAGATTCCACAGAGGGGCTTTGGCTGGTCTGCCAGGGGACCTTGTAGTGAGCAGTGTCCCTCTCATCTTCATTTCTGGGTGCTGCTACTGTATATTCTGTGCTTGACATGGAGTCCATTTCTTTTCCTGATAATCTGTGTGCTTTGTGGACGGTTCCATGTCATAAACTGGTCTTGCACCTATAACCCCAGTGGTTCAGGAGGCTGAGGCAGGAGGATTGCAAGTTCAAAGCAGCCTCAGCAACTTAGTGAGGCCCTAAGCAATTCAGTGACATCCTGATTCTAAATAAAATATTTAAAGGGCTCAGTGGCTGAGTGCCCCTGAGTTCAATCCCTGGTACCAAAAAAAAAAAAAAAATCTGGCCAGGTTACATGAATTAAAGTGCCACCAGTGCTGGTGCTTTGGGTTTCTGAGCTTAAATATTACCCAGCTGTTCTTCTGTTTAATGACAGAGTCAGCTTGGGAAGCTTTTTCTAATTTAATCATCTGGAAGTCTAGAATGATACCAAACAGCAACCCCTAGCATCCCATCTTGCTGCTGTCTTTGTAACATGAAGTTCCTGGGAGCCTCTGTACCAGGTTAGCAAGTGGGTAGTTTCTCCTGTGGAAGGCACTCTTTCAAATTTTCTTTTTTCTTTATTTATTTTGGAGTTCTAGGGATGAACGTGGGGGTGTTTTACCATTGAGCTTTTCATTTTTTATTTCAAGACAGGATCTTGCAAAGTCACCCGAGCTGACCTCAAACTTGTGATCCTCCTGCCTCAACCTCCTGAGTCTTTGGGACTGCAGGCCTGTATACCACAGCACTTGGCTTAACTTGAGAATTTTCAACGAAGACACTGTGTTTCTAGGGAAAGCACCCAGACAGAGCACAGCAACTGCTTAACTGTGCTTGTATGTCAGCTTATCTCTCTGTGGTGCCAAGCTGCTTTCTTTTTTCTTTCTTTCTTTTTTGGTGTGTGTAGGGAACGGCAGGTGGGGGCTGCTTTATAATCAAACCAAGCCCCAGTAGCCATCAATGTAAGGCACCAGCCTGTCTCAGAAGTGTGAGCTCAAACCAAGAAGCACACTCTTCTTCATGGCTTTAAGAGAAAAGAGACTGTGAGTGCCAAGGAAGCTTCCCATTTGCATTTCGAAGGACTCTCCAAGGATCTGTCCCCTGGAGTCACCTTTGATCCACATTTCTCCCAGGCGAGAAGGTGCATAGTGCGCCCTCTGCTGGGAAAAGGGAGAACAGTCCTTATTCTGCCCCATCCCTCAGGGCAGTTACTCTTTGCCTGGAAGCTACTGAGGACAGCAAGGTGTGCAGCTTGCAGATCCTGCATCATCTGTACAGATGCAGGCCTGATTCCATCCTTATTGTGTCTCAAGTCGAGGGCTGAGACAGACTCTGGGCTCAGACACAGGGCAGGCAGGTGTTCCATACCCCACCCCCACCAGGGGGTCTCAGCCACTCCCAGTCACTTAGCCAATGTTTGGACACAAACAAAGCTGAAAGCCAACAGAACCCATATCAAAGCTCAATCCAGGCCACACATCCACCAGTACTTTCCTTCATGTCCCTGATGCTAATTCCTGTGCAGAAACTTTTAAAGAACATTCAGGTTCCATCTAAAAATAATAAGCCAAGGCCACATAGACAATTAAAAAAAAAAAAGCCAATTTGGTACTCATTTTTTTGTTCTCTCCTGTTTGCTTCAGTTAGTTAGACATTATGTTGGAAATGACTCTAAGGTTACAAGAAAGTATTGAGGTGGAATTCACACCCCTCTGGGTCATGGATAGAGGGAGGAAATGACTGGACTGTGATTGACCCACCTGGTGGTGTCTCCTGGATACTGAGGGCCAAGCAAGTAGAATTTCTCCCACTCGGATCCCAGCACTGTCCTTGCCTTTCTGTGAAGCTAAGACATTCTGCTGGGCCTTGTGAATGACTCACATGGAGTCTGCCGAGAAGAAGGGTATGGAAGGACAGGATGCACAGTTGACCCCTTCATCCAGAGGAGAGACCGCCACTGACTTGCCCTAACCTATGAGCATCAAAGACCTGAGCCTCTGGAACCCCAAGCTGCTCCCTAGTCAATGCTTCTGAGGCTGCTGCCACTGGAGCTTGACAAAGATGCAAAGAGATTGTGGAAAATCATAGCTATAAAAATGGCTGTTGATTGGGCACAGAGACAGACACTTGGGAGGCTGAGGCAGGAGGATCACAAGTTCAAGGACAGCCTGGGCAACACCACAAGACCATGCATGAATGAATGAATGATGGATGGATGGATGGATGGATGGATGGATGGATGGATGGATGGATGGATATTTGTTAGCAGATGGCAGATATGGGCTACTGTTTTGGTTCCATGAGTAGTGCCCAGTCTCAAAAGTTGGACATTCCCAGTTTCTGACAGACCTGGATACTCCTGGAGTATTGCAGAGTCTTTATATTGATATAAATGATTTATCAAATACACCTGTTAAAGTGGAAAACTGGGGGCTGGGATTGTGGCTCAGCGGTAAAGTGCTTGCCTAGCATGTGAGAGGCCCTAGGTTCAATCCTCAGCACCACATTAAAAAAAAAAAAAGAATAAGTAAATAAAATAAAGTTTTTTAAAAAGTGGAAAACTGGTGTCTTGGAAAAAGGGTTTTTCTTTTTCTATACCTTTTTATTTTTCACAACAAACTTGAAGTCTTTAAATACTACGTTTGATATAAAAAATTAAAAGGAAACCATATAGTTAAAATCAGAACTCTTTTTTTTTGTTTTCCACGCCCACACACTTGTCTCTTGCCCCAGAGGGAGTAGTAGAGGAAAAAGTGTGCTCATTCTATTGTACACTCCCTCCCTTGCTATGGAGAACATCTATCAGAGATCCTAAATCATTATTAAAACCTGGACCAAATTTTTGGCTTTGAATTTCCTGGCAACCAAAGCAGAAGGATGATATGATGATTCCCTATAAATTGCACCTTCTTCCTGGAGTAAAAAACACCACCTCTGGAGAAATACAGGCTAAACTGGGCGCAGTGGCTCATGCCTGTAACCCCAGCAGCTAGAGAGGCTGAGGCAGGAGGATCATAAGCTCTAAGTCAACCTCAGCAACTTAGTGAGGCCCTAAGCAACTCAGCGAGACTTTATCTCTAAATAAAATATTAAAAAGGGCTGGGGATGTGGCTCAGTGACTAAGTGCCCAGGTACAAAAATGGTTTATAATTGTGTTCTTTGTTTTTGTCTTTGTTTTTGTTTTTGTTTTGGAAGGTCTGGATTAATCTAGAGCTGACATTTGGACTACTAGAAAGTGATGAGCTGCCTGGTAGAATCATTTCCATTGCCTGGGGGAAAATTTTGATAGATGAGCACAAGAAGCTCATGGTTGTAATTACTAGTGTGGCCCAAAGTATGTGTTGAGTGGGCTGTGTGTGGCTGCAGAATAAAGTATCTACCCAAGACTGACCCAAAGAGATGGCCATCATCCCTCCTCAGTGGGAACATGGTAAGGCAAAGAGGTATTCCAGGAAAATGAACATAGGAACTCAAACTTTTGGAAGCTATGAAAACTCAAGGGAGGAATAATCAGTTGTTCCTGTCTGAGAAAAGACTTCAGCAAAGGTAAACTGTATATTGAAGTCAATATTCTTTGCCTGGCTTGATAGAAATGATAGTCGAAATCAGTAAAAATGGGACCATATCACTACAAGCAGCCACACCAGTGGTTCTCAAACCTCAGCAAACCCTCAAAACTACCCAAGAGTTTGTTTCAAATGCACAGTCAGCGCCCCCTGGCATTCTGATATGTGGGGCTCACCGATTACGATTCAGCCAGCCAGAGAACCACATATGCCCTCAGACCTCAGATGAGGCGTGAACTGACGCCGGCCAGGCCATCTCAGTTCCAACCAGGAGGATAATATGATCTTAATTCCAGTACTTCACATTGTCTCCCTCTATTTTCATATGAGAAGAAGCAAAATGGTCCATGGCATTCATTTTTGCCTGCCTGGATCTTGTGCTGCATTTCTTCATGGTTGATGAAACCAAGTTTGTACACTTTGTTCCCACGCCTTCCTTGAATAATCCCTGGGGAAGAGAATCCTCCAGTCTATGGGATGCTTTGCTTGTTCTTGCTTCCAGTGGGATTCCAGAGGCTATAGCTGATGCACACAGACACTGGCAACCATCAGAGCCTGGTGGAGGCAAATTTTCTCCATCAAACTCATCATCTTCGGGTGGGTGGGTGATCTGCAGTAGAGATTCTAGAAAATTGAATGAACAGAAAATCCTGCCTAGTGATTCTAGTGGTATTTTCTTTTTGTATGAATATAGAACTAAGAATAAAATAAATCTATTTTATAGAGATCAAATTTCAAGAGTTCACTCTTCAGGTCAGCAAGTTGTGTGAGATATCTTGGAAGGCTACATTATGTCATTGTGAGCAAAAGTAAAATAGGAGGGGGGCATTTTTTCAAGTATATTTTGTTTGTTTTTGACTGAA